ACGCTGTGTGCAGCGAGTTTAGTGTGCACTCTCAAATGTTTTCTATCAAGGCTCTACATGTTTTGCTCTCAACTGCAAAAGGCTGCAAATAAACTGTTAAATGTGGCAGGAAATAAACTAATACACCACTCTACAGGCACATTTTCAGGAGGGACGGTTTACTAAGACTAGGCAAGGCAAGGTAAGACTCAGGGCTGATGCTGTACCAACCCTGTTTGTTCAACGCCCTGAACCAAGGAGGAGGAAGGACCCCGCAGTGAGAAGTACAGCAGAACCACTGCATGTTGATCCACTGACCAGTGACCACACATATTGTACTCAAGTAAACTGCGGTACGAATCTTTTGAAATATTAGACATTTGTATTTATTTTATTTAAAAATGATTCTTTATTCTAACAGTGCCATTATAAATTCAGAGAAAGAGGAAAGCAGCAGCAGCAGTGAGGCAAATGAGGTGAGGGAAAGTGAGGGGGACATGAGATGGTATCAGGAGAGAGGGACATCCCAGGAAGCCATGAGGAGCCGGCGTCAGGGCCAGGAGGACAAAGGAACAGGCTCTGCAACCAGGGAACCCAGCTGGAAAACCTAAGGGAGGAAATAGAAAATCAAAAATGTATGAAAAACACAAGAGGCATTAAATGGAGTAAACAGACGATCAAAAAGGCCGTACAGCTTTGTTTTTCAGTGGGTTCAACAGGCTGCAGGTTTCTTCAGGACATGAGTATCCCTCTGCCTGATGTTAGAACCCTGCAAAGACAAATGCAGCCCATTAAACTGGATCCAGGTGTGTTAGGAGAGGTGTGTGACATGCTCAGTTTGAAGGTTAAAAATCTGACAGAGATGGAAAGAGAGTGTGTGCTTACTGTGGATGAGATGGCAATCACTCCAGGCGTGCATCACTCCGTCACAGACCCAACTGGGTTTTGCCACCACCGTTGTTCCTGGTCAGCTCTCCGCTCAGCCACGATGAAAACATGAAGATGGACACACAACACAGTTTAACCTTTAATGGTTACATAAGATTTTTGTTTTAGTTACTCATTGACATTTATTTATTCATATTTATGTTACTGTTAATTCTTATGTCTTGTCATTCCTTAATAACAGCATTGCAAATGCTAATATTATAAAGCAAGTGGAAATAAGCATTTTTATGGAAAATGTCTAATTTTTAAAAGTTATTGTTCGACTACTGTTCCTGAATTATCTTAATTCTGTTCTTATTACTTGAGTCCACAAAACAGAACAACATATCTTCTTACGTTCGTAATCCTGTTTGTCTCATGCTTCAGCAGTTCGTTGCAGTCAGTGTTATTAACTGAAAAATATAAAATAATTACTTGTCTTCACAATCACATTTTCTTTATTATTGGTCTCTCCGTTTGTGCTTCCATTTCTGATGCATGTTCGTGTTGATACAGCAACCAGCAACGTATTGTACAAAAAATCCCAAATAAAACTAATAATGTTTAAAGGTTGTAACCTATTTCAAACTGTGGAGAATATTTTTAAAACGTAGAATCAAACAAACTGAAATAACCCCATCTACAGTTTGTCAAGCTTGTCTAAACCCTCCTGGTCACAATCAGCAAACTGCACACAATTAGCTCATTAAAGGCTATCTAGCTAAAACTGGCAACATAAAATATCATCGTTGGCTTATTTTGGTACGAAGCGGTTAGCCAACGCTTCACAATGCAACAAAATGATGACGTTTCATGAACTTACCGGAGTAAATCCTTCCGAAACACCGAAAATGAACTACGGTCAATGCAGCAGCGGGGCTGTTTGGAACTATTCGAAGCTACATGAACCACGTGACTTCCGCATTCCATTCTTTCCATAGGAGTCTATTGGAGTGTCGTGAAGGTTGGTTTATGCTTGACGCATCCGCGAGGTCCACGCGGAAAAGTTGCGTCATTTTAACAGCCACTCACCTCCATCGCGCGGCCCAAACTTTCCGCACTGCGCACCTAGGAAATTTTCTAACCACGCGGACGGTCAGACGCGGAAAAACATGGCGGACTGGCAAGAACTAGTATGGCAGAGGTTCGTAAATACAGACATTTGTATGATTCAGCTCTCAAAGATCACCGTGATCAGCATGTTGTTAATAACTCTTGGAGAGAAACAGCTCGCACTGTCAGAAAAGACGAGGACGCTGTTAAAAAAATGCTGGAATGCCATGTTGTAAACAGTAATTTTTACTGCTACTATGGTGTAGTGTTGGATTCATGCTGTAGAGCTCCATGCTGCCCCCTACAGTTTGGGAGAATATTGGCTCACCGCAGAGACAAGCCGCATGAACCATAAACGCTGCAAGTTGTGAAGCGCGCTCCATCCACGAGCCGCATCACCAAGCGGAAAGTAAATGCGTCAAGAATAAACCAAGCTTAACTCTCTCTCTACAGCTCTGACAGAACCCTACCCTCCTCTCCCAATGATTGGACAGGAATTTGAGAAACGTGATTGGTAGCTAAGACTCGTGCTCTCATTGGTTCCACCCAAGTTCCTCCCACCGAAGCTACAATTGAGACAAAATGATTTGTAACACTGTAGATTTGAGGTTTGTACCTGTAGAATGAAATGTGTGTTTTGAGAGTTTTGATTTCAAACTTGTACATTGATTTTTTTTATTTTGGAAGTCTGCTAGCTAAAAACTGAAAGTTTCATGTTTCTGAATGAATGTTTGATGTTGTAGTGAACCTGGGATTTCCTCACGTTACAATGTTATAAAATGAGTAGTAAGTGTACAAAATAAAAGTTTGATTTTACACAAAAAATACATGTACAAAATGAAAATTTCCTGTTACAAAACAAGAAATACAAGTACAAATGGAGAACTACAAGTTAGAAAACTAAAGTTACAAGTTACGAATCCAAAGTTACGTGTCATGAAACATGTTCCAAGTTACAACACTTGGTACAAGTTACATTGAAAATTGTCCCAATCCTAGCTCCATATATTTCACTAAGAGGTGGTAAAAAACAGCAATGATTGCTCTGCACATGCATGACAAAGGTGTGCTGATGTGACCCATGACCAAAGTTCTCAAAGCACATTGTTACCCTCCCCAATGTGTGAAAAGCACAATGAACTTATTCACTCTAGTAGATAATCCTATCACCAGTTCAGCCCCGATAATGAAATCTGAACATGCCAGCAGAAGCTCAGCCAAGAGGTAAAATGTCATTAAAAATATTTGTATGAGCGAAGAGCCTAGAAAGATCCTAAAGGTGTTCTAGTCATAAAGCTCCAAAGTATAGAACAAAATATTTTGTTCTTGAATTTGAGTAAAAAAAGAAAAATAGTTGAGGGAACATGAGCTGCTGTTTATATTAGCAACATTGCCTCTTAGCATCTCCTTCTTTTAAAGCTGCATCAGAATTTACCAGAGCAGCTACACAGAGATGAAGCAAACCTAAAGGTCATCAATCACAGAAAACATTACTGTTCTCTCAATACAGACTGAAATACATTACACCACTGATTGTTCATTAACGGCTCTAATCCTCCAAAACATATTCTTTCAGTTCTCCATCTTCACTCTTGTGGTTTTATTGTGTCACTGCTTATTTAGAACAGCCGGTCTCAGCTTTCAGCACAGCTCAACCACCAAAACCCAGGAACAGGTCCGACTGGCTTTAGGCTTTCGTGAAATACATGCAACATCAAATAAAATTTTACAAGAAAACCTTCCAGTGGATTTCTTTTAACTGTCAACATCATTGTTGAATAATGAAAATAACAGAAAAACAGAAGAGTATTGAGTGTTTAAAAATGACTAGAAAGGTTAGTCAGCGCATATCCCAAACAGAATACAGGTGTGCATCTCTGTTTACCTTTACTGTGAAAACAGGACACTGCCTAGAAGAATAGTGCATTTGGCCTAAATCACGCAGGTATGTCAACAGGAGCATGCTGATCTTTTCATCATGTGTATGAAAAGTGATGTTTTTTGGGTAGAAGGTCTCTCAAAACACACACACACACACACACACACACACACACTAACTGACATAGGTAATCTCTAAACTGAAGTATTACAATTTCATAATGGTGTGCAAACACAATAGTAGGTAAACTTTTGACAATACTTTTGATCAGGAGTGTCAGAAATGTTCTAAGTGAAAGTCCTCACATACCACAAAAAGTGATTTGTTTTATTTAAAAATGCTAAACGAATTTTATAATCAAATTTTTACTACTTCAAACTGTGAAATATATTATGTCTCAGTCATGCATATTGGTAGAAATATGAATAGAACATTTATTGAAACTATTCCATCATTGTCACCAATGATCCCTGGGCTGCACATTGGTCCTGCCTGTTATAAACCGAAAGTAACTTTCATATTAATCCCAATTCAGGTGACCTGGTGTAATATTAGGAAGATCGGAAGGGCTGTGGTTGCCTGGAAATACTTTCACATTTTATGTAAATCAACAGACGTGCTGAACTAACTCCCACTTCAATACTTCTAAAAGTTATCACTGCTGTGTAGAAATACAAGACAACGTAACTGCAGCTATGTGCAGGCGGGCTATTTAAAAATAAATGAGCATTCATATAAAAAGATCAAGGCAAACGCTTTACAAATTCTCTGTAAATGCTATTTCTGCAATTGTGCTAACGCATAAACTGCTACTTGCAACTTAGTTGTGCGCATTTAAAGCACTTAGGCTAAATAAATCCATAAACGCTACTGATGACGTAATTAATGTTGTTAATTCCTTATGTGCGTGAACGCAACACAGCGTAACGACACCTGAGTGTGCATTAAGGTGTCGATTCTCTACAAAACTGTCAAGAAAACCCGACCAGACACGTAGCAAAATTAATCTTCTTCACCCTCGCGGATACAAAGTTGCCACGTGAAGCTGCGATTACTAAAACAAGAATGACTTTGTTGAGTTTTGTGGAGTAAATCCGGTCAATTGCACGATACACCTGTCGAGACTGAACGCCCTTCAGGTCTGCCTGTTGAATGGCCTTACCGTTGATCGGGGAGGAAACCGGGATGTGGAATCCGTTTCAAGTTTGCCAAACAGGGATCAAAGTGCCCCCCAAAAACAATTATGAGGAAAATAAATGACGGTAAAGTTTAAATGGGTCCACGGGAACTGAATCCGACCGAGGGTGCACGTAAGGCAGAGTCCCTTTCACAAGGGGGGTGGTGAAAGGCGGGACTAGCTGTTGCAAGATGGAAACAAAGGGAGTGGCGGACAGGAAAAAAAATACTTTGAGTGGCTGGTGAGCAACTCGGGCGTCAGAGCTGCTGATGTCATTCAGCAAGGAAGAGGGTGACAGGTGAGCTTGGAGAGGAAGAGGGCTAAAATGGCTCACCTGGGATCATTAAACACTAAACGTAATAGTTTAACCACCCATCACTTTTTTTTTTTGCATTCTGTTGACTTAGATATAATGTGGATGTCACTTTTTAAGAAGGGTTCACCTGTTCAATCACTTGTTTATAGAAATAGCGAATCAGCAGAGATGTGGACTCTAGTCACATGACTTGGGCTCGAGTCATTATTTTAATGACTTCTGACTTGACTTGATAAAATCTATTAAGACTTACGACTTGACTCAGACTTGAACGCCAGATTTGCAACTTGAGTCGACTTGCATCTGTTGACTTGATGATGACTTGAGCACATTTTATATTTTAGCACAAAAGTGGCACGACACGGACAAAAATCATAAATCATTCTTTGTGCTGGGTTTGATCTTGTTCTGCTAAATGCAGCAGCACTTTGTTCATAATCAGTTTCAGTTGCACTTTCTGCTTGTTTGAGCAAATAAATTAAGCCTTAAGAAGCTTTATTTCTGGAATTCATTTATTATCATTGTCATCAAATTGAAGTCGGACAGATGACTTGATTATGACTTGAAAATTCAAAGTTAAGAACATGGACTTGACTTGGACTTGGTTGCCTTTGACTTGGATTTGACTTGAGACTTACTTGTGACTTGGTCACACCTCTGTGAATCAGCCAATCCGAAAGCAGCAGCTCAATGTATTTGTCTAGTTAAATTTGAGCATCATAATGGAAAAGACAAAGTAGTGTGGTTGTTGGTACCAGACAGGCTAGTCTGGGTATTTCAGAAACCGCTGATCCACTGGGATTTTCACCCAGAACCAAGATAAATTGTTCACTGAGGAACCGTTGCTTTTAAAATGACAGTTTGATGATAGAGAAAGGCAAAGAAATACCATTATACTACAACAAAGGTTTACACAGAAAATAATCTCCGAGCCACATCACGTTGAAGCAGATGGGCTCCAGCAGTAGAAGACCACACCAGGTGTCACTCCTGTCAGCGAAGAACAAGAAACGGAGGCTACAATTCACACGGGATCAGCAGAACTGGACCAGAGCAGACCTAAAACAGCTTCCCTGGTCTGATGAGTCTTGATTTCAGCTGCAACATTCACAAGGTCGGGTCAGAATTTGGTGTCACCAACATGAAAACATGGATCCATCCTGGTGTAATGTGGAGATGTTCTCATCACACTTTGGACCTCTTAGGACCACCTGAGCCTGGTGGAAACCCGCCAGCCTACCTGATCATGACTGCTGACCACGTCCATCTCTTCATGACCACAGAAGACCTTTTAGGATTACAAATAAAACATAACTGTGACGTGTAAATTCGTGTGTTCATAAAACAGCCTTCGAGTGAACCACTACAACAACATTTGAAAGATTGGATTTGTTGCAGAAATCCTTTTTAATCTTGGTTCCGCTCAGATTAGCTGTTCACTTATGAACCAGAACTTCTTCTCCAAACAGACTCTTCTCTACTACAGAGCGATGTTTCATGTCCACAACCGCAGGAGCAAGAGCAGGATTTAGTTCAGTTAGTCGTTTTGATTCCAGCTTCAATAATTATTTTGCAAAGCTTGAGGAAAACCACAAAGCCTCTCCTCTCAGCTGTACTGAACGCCTGCATATGTTTGGGCATTTAGTTGTTAGTTAGTTAGTAAGTTGGTTAGTTAGTTAGTTAGTTAGTTAGTTAGTTAGTTAGTTAGTTAGTTAGTTAGTTAGTTAGTTTTAGTTAGTTAGTTAGTTAGTCAGTTAATCAGAGCAGAAGTATTTAATTTGGGTCTGAAATTAAGTAGTGAAGTGGACATTTGGCAAAAATTAAATTAAAGACCAAGTTCACTTTTTTTTCAACACATTTGCAGTGGTCTCTAGTATAAATGAGGGTCTTGTGAGTTGTTTTCTGTGGGGAAGAAATCTCTTTTGGTCCTGTTTCAGGAACTAGAAGGGACCCAGAACAGATGTAAGAAGAAAACTGAATAATTTGTAGTCTATTTCCTAATCACCCTTTCCTTATTCTGCTCTTTCCCGCCTTTTCCTGCAATCCACTGATTTCTCTATTTCCTATTCATTTTCTCTCTCCCTTTCCTTTCATTTTTTAAATCACAAATTTTATTTTTTTCCCCATTTCAAACATATTTTTAATAATAAAAAATATGTATACTTTTATTTTTTTTATTTTTTTGGTTTATGTGAAGTGCCTCGTGATTTTTATCTTGAGAGGCACTAACATCATTTTCTTTCTTTCTGATATTCAAACATTTCTCCTCAGATTGGCTAACAGCAATGTGACTATACTGACTCTGTTTGCAACGTTGATCATTTATTTCCACAAATAACTCAAGCTTGAAGAAGTTTCGCCGTGTTGCGGAGTTGCTGATGATAGCGGTTAGCTCCTGCCTGCCGAGACGTGCTCTGCTCTCTCCTGGGCACTACAACAACAACAGCCTATCCCTTCATGACCCGAGACGGGTGAGTCCATGAATGCTAATTTTCATTGTGACGTGGAATTGATGGGATTTTCTAATCTAACAGTTTCCCTGTTTATTTTCTGTCAGCGACAGCAGGAAACAGAGGTAGAAGACTTTTTTCATGTTCAGCCTGCACGTGACTGAGCTTTTTCTCAGAGAAATTGGCCTTTAAAACCATTTGTACCATTTAGTATTTTGTCTGGAAATTAAATATTTTACTTTTTAAACTTATGTAATCCCCAATTTGCATTTAAATTCATTTCACATATTTTATTGTGAAAGTGTGGATACTATAAATGGCAACCACCTGCTTTGTCCCACTAAAACTACTTTAATAGTGTACATTAAATGTTAAAATGACCCGCACTTGTATAGCGCCTTTTCATAGTCAGAGGACTCCAGAGCGTTTTTCACCATGCATCATTCACACACTGATGAGGATGAGCTACGATGTAGCCACAGCTGCCCTGCGGCTCACTGACAAAGGTGATTACATTACAGTGACATCACTACTCACCGTTAATTTAGAGAAAATAGGTTATTTGCACAATTTGCATCAGATTTTTGTGTACTTATTGTCTATAAAACTAATATATAAAATGTTAAAAGTTGTTAGTCTTTAAACTGCATGAAATTTTGCATCTTAGAAACCCGAGAGGCAGAGAAAATGTGGCATTTTTGCAGCTTTTAACATAATAAAAGTGGGGAAAAGAGAATATTTCTGTCATTTTTCTGATGCTAAACTCAAAATATCACACAAAGAAATCATTTCATTTACACTGAAATCTTGTACATGTAAGCACACTGAAACACGGTGAGATGTAAACTAATTCTTGAGGGAGTGTTGGGGGCATTTGAGAGCAGAGCCGTGATGTGTTTAGTTAAAACACAAATGCTTGTTTCTTCTCAAACAGTGATCCATTTGTTATCTGCCCTCCACATACAGACTGCTCCATGCATTCACTGCCCTCTCCATCAATTTCCCCCAGCAATGCCCTGAGTCACCACATCATGCAGCTCAGCCATTGGCCGCTGGGCCAGAGCCTCCACTTGGTCCTCCGATTAGAACGCAGATGTCTGGAGCATAAAGTGTTTCTGTTAACTGGATCCTTCATTGTGTGACTAGCACAATTTTCAGTTTTCTCTCTGTTATATCCCTTCACTCCTCCAGCCCTATTGTCTTTCTGCTTGCCTTTTCCCCTTCCATCATCCCTCCACACACACCCCAGATATCAGGTGTGTTACCTGAGCTCCATATCAATAGTTTATCACTCTGGGACATCTAATCTACGGAGCGTAGCAGCCCTCTCTCCTGGGGGATTGTTCCGTATCGGTCTGTGAGAAAAGTAAAAGGGAAAAGGGAAAATCATGCAAGAACAAAGGAGTCTGGATTGTCCAGAGCCAGGTGGCAAACTTGACACCTAGAGCTTTGTTGTTTGTTTAGGAGTTCTCATGATCAGAAGTCAACAGCAGGCACAAACGGTGTGAAAGATTGCACTATTTGGTGCATTCTTTACAGAATACGCCTGAAAAGATGGACGGGCAGCTTCTTGGTAAAAATGATCTGTTTCAAAGATAAATAAATGAATGAAAATCGTGGTTATAGTCTTGTACTGACACCTAGTGGAAATATGAATAATTACAAGAAAATGAGATTCCAGCTCTCATAAAATAAAGTGCCACAAAAGGGGTTTGTGATCGAATATCAACACATGTTGCATCGAAATCTGTATAAAAACAGCTTTTGAATTGTTATTATTATTATTATTATTATTATTATTATTATTATTATTATTATTATTATTATTATTATTATTATTAAGTTGTACTTCTTACCTGAGAAGAAAGCACACAAAAGACACAGGAGAAATATACTTTTTCTAAATACTCATTTATGTCACATCAAAAAGCTACAAGAAAATCTCAGAAAAAAGTTTGAAGCTTCTGTTTAGGATTAAGGTTAGAAATGTTCATTAAACAGCTTTTCAAATCCTTAAAACTGTTACTGATCGGTTTCTTCACCTTTAGTTTTTTCTCCCTTCTTTATCAGATGAAATCAGAAATGTTGCATATCAGTGATCCCACAGCTAAATGTTGCTGAGGGAAAACCAGATGGTGAAGCCCGAACGGCCGATACTGCAGAAGGGTGATGCTGAGTTCAGTGTTTCCTCTTTGTTTTTTGTTTTTTTTAGCCGTTTCCTGTCTGGCTGTGAAGCAAACAGAATTGATGTCTGAATGCTGGTGACAAGCCTTACAGATTTACTCTCAGGTGGAGCATCAAAGCGTCTGCTTTTAATGTCACGCCTGATACTTAAAACTTTATTGTTATTGTTTTTGAATGCTTTGTAATTCCGACCAGACACGGAGACAGAGGTGAAAGAGAGAGGAAAAGACAAAAGGTGGGAAGAGAGGGGGGGGTGGGGG